ATAAAATAGCCTAAGTGCTAGTTCAAACCGGCATGAAGTGACCAAATTATTTTAACTCTTATGCTCTCGGCGGCGCTCTGACGCCCTGATGCATCTGAAAATCAGGGTTGTCCTAATCTGACATGGGTGGCTGGTGCGGCTCCAACACATTGAGTTTAGAGCGACGCTTAATTCATCATTAGATCATCGAAAACTTTGAAGCCGAGATGACGAACAGAATGATCTAACCACTTTATGCCTATACGGGCCGGCACCCTGCGTATCTATTTCTGTCACCCATGATAAGGGATGGCTTTTTTGTTAGCTAGGAGGAGATGCAGCTGAGATAACGTTATTGCCATTGCCGATCTGTATCATGCTAAAAATGACAGAAATCGGACTCACCCAAACTGGCTGACCTGTTAACATTTTATCCTGTGGCTGGCGCTAGCGAGAAGCATTGTGTCTTAGCTCTGGTATCTGGTCACGGCAGTATCATAGCTGGAGAAGGCAATAGAGTCAGATTTCCCTTTTGGAGAAACCATTACATTGATGTTATGCTACATGTTCTTGGCCTCGGCCTTTTATCCAAAACCTCGTGTGTGTAGATGTTATCGCGTTACTCAGAATCGTTAAACGGTTCAATCTTAACGATCAGATTAAGGGTCGTGCTAAGGTTATTCTGATCTACAGACGATCAAGCGCTACTGCACCAAGGCAAAGCGCCGCTGATAGAATGCAGGAATCCATTGTCTTGAACTTGCGCGATCTACCGTTGGGACTACCTCGTAGGGATATCACATTCCAGACAAGGAATGCTTATATACAAAAGTAGTTAGAACATCCGGTTGACAGGACGTTGGTCAAGGGTCATCTCCAGACATCAACGGCTTTCTTGTGGCCGTTGGTTCAATGATGACTGCGTCTCAGTTAGCCAAGAATTGCCAATTTGTCAATGACAGGGTAAACTTACTGCATATGAGAGATAGATATGGCTTGACGTGATGACCTCACAAGCCGTCGACCGACAGAAGAACTGGCCATATAAAGTCTCATAGCTCCGCTTGATCCCATTCTCACCATCACTCATAATCGTAGACATCAAACAATACAATCTCCTACTTCACATCTACCAACTACCCCTCGACAAGCACGATCAAGATGAAGGCCTCCATCATTCTCGCTCTTCCCTTCCTTTCCCTTGCCGCTGCCGCCCCAGCCAAGGCCGATAAACGAATTGACCTTTCAAAGATTCTGGAACCTCTCGACTGCCCGCTCGAGGTCGCTTCGCTCATCCCAGACTGCCTTCCAAGAGCTTCAGATGGGCAAAAGATCAACCTTGAACCACTCACGATGTGGTAAGTAATAATTTAACTAAACTTCTGTTCTCGAAGCTGGGTTACTAACTGGGTATTGCAGTCTCAGGAAGCTTGGATTGAATGTCGAGCGGACGGTAAAGCTGGAGGAAATTACTTGCATCTACAGAAGCTCTATATAATTTGTATGGAAGGGTCACTATGTTGGTCTAATTGATATAATAATAAGCATAATTTCAATCGTTCATCGGCGGGCTGCAGAACCATTGCGCCTTGAGTCTGCTTCGGAATGCTTCTTTTTGAATTGAATGAACAATACCTCCCGAATCGAAATTTACATCACGAATGGTTTCAAAATTCATTCATTACTGGATTTATGATATCTCGATGCATTCTAACGAGTCATCAAATCCCATGAAGATACGTGCAATAGCCAGCTCTTAACTGCTGTTATCCTGAAAAATGATCCTTTCACGCCACATTACACCACTCTTGTCAAACGCCTACTTATCCCTTCCTTCGCTGAATACCAAGACACTCAAGGAACGGCCCATCGTGACACCCGATCAAATATGCCTGCTCAGTCGTAGACTCATTGACATGTTTCACCTTGCACCATGAGGGCACAGCGAAAGTGTCGCGGGCTTCCCACTGAAAAGTCATTCTCTCCCCTGTCGGTGTCACGAGCTCTGTTCGGCCCTTACCCTCGTAACAGTGGTAGAGATAAGACTGGCTCTCTTGCGATTCAAATGCTGCGCCGGGACTTAGTCTCTCTGCTTGAACACCGAGAAATGTCGATAAAGGCTTTCCGTTGGATAGCTTATAGTGATAAACTGAGTAGTCGTCTCTGCTGGCGTTGAGCTCCTTCTCAACTGGGCCCCAGGGAAAGCGGAACTCGCATGGGTCACAATGCCTAAGGAGGATCAGCATGATTAATTCCGTATCAAACGTGGAGAGAAACATACTCGCTTGGATATCTCGGGTCAGAGTAACCTTGTGCAAAGTGAACTGGTGCGAAGCGGAATAAGGGCAAGTTAAGCATATCTAGCCAAACAACTGGCTTATCGCTCTCATTGCCATGATCGTGCCAATGCCAAATGGGCGTAATAACGACATCACCACGAACAAGTGGCATCTTCTTGCCCTCAACCGCTGTGAAACCCTCTCCATCAATGATGAAGCGGGCCGCAAAGGCAAGATGTCTATGCGCTGGTGCCGTCTCACCGGGATTGACGATTTGTAGGCCACCATAGATAGTGTCTGTAGTATAAGGGGATTCTATACGTGTAAGTATGATGAAGTAGTACGGGGAGGGTGGCACACTTACGCATACTAGGGTTCACTAGCATCAAGACTCTTCGTTCAGCCTTTTCTTCGGGAACCAACTTGGCGGCTGTCTCCAGATGAGGCAAAGCTTCCCTGTAAGTCCACATATAAGGTTTTGCTGTGGGGTTTGGCGATGGCGGCACCATCATGCTCATCTGAGACCATAGAGGCTCTAGGTTCTTGGATGGTAGTTCACTAAGATACTGCTTCATCTCATCGGTTTCGCCATCGGAGGCTACAGCACTAGTATAGTTGCCCATAGTGTATAATAGCTGCAGTCTGAACCCAGAACAAGAATATAAGATGTATCTGGTCAAGTGTGATTATACAAGTAAGTGGTTTGTTTGATGGAGTCAGGCGGTGATAAATAGCGGATGAATATGGCCCGAAGTTCAAATATGGGATAATGATAAGATCACGATGAAGTGTAAAACTGGGGAAAAAGATTACCGCCTCCCAGAATGCAGACACATCAACAGAACCAAGTCGATTATCCCAAAATAGCCGAGACTGATAATCCGTCCCCGGACCCATTCCGAGGCTCCTCCGGATCCCTGGGATCCGATCGGACCGCATCGTGACTGGCTGTTGAAGCGGACCCACTTCGCGATGTTGCCCGACAACATTATCGTCCAGCAGTCACTCAATGCGACTATATCAGGTAGTCGATCATAAGCTTTTTACTCACAGCAGCATAATGAGAATCGCCAGTTCAATCGCATCATCACTAACTCGAAAAATGTCTTCAAACTCTTGGAACCGCCTCATCCGCTTCGTCGATGACAATGGAAACGAGACTTTTGGTGATCCCGAAGTTCAGAACGACAAGGACTTTGCGGAACGTCTAGCCAAGAATGACCTATGGGCTGTCGAGTACAAGGGTCAAAGTCCCGTGTCACAACTCACAAAGGGCGAGAAGATCCATGTCAAGGCTGTTCACGAACTGCTTCGACCGTCTGATGTGCCCATCATTCGCTGTATTGGACTGAACTATATCAAGCACAGTAAGTGGCAATAAAGATATCCTGGAGTAGTCGCTAATTTGAGTGATTAGTCAAGGAGGGTGGCCGAACACCTCCACCTTACCCTTCATTATTTATTAAGCCTTCGACCTGTATCGCTGGTTACGATGAAGATGTTCCAATTCCCAAGATTGCTCAGGACGGCACAATAGACTACGAAGGAGAACTGGTACGTATTCTTAGAAGATATATGCACAATTCGCTAACACCATTCTAGGGCATTATCATTGGCAAATCTGGCAAAAATATCTCGAAAGAGGACGCGCTATCATACGTGGCGGGTTATGTTACCTCCAATGATGTATCTGCACGCGCATGGCAAAGAGATCCCAAGAAGGCCGGTGGCGTTCCCCAGTGGTGTTTCAGCAAGGGCTTCGACAAGTTCGCTCCCATCGGTCCTCTTCTCGTTTCTCCCGCTGTCGTCGGCAACGCTTCGGAGTTGCACTTGACAACAACTGTCAATGGTGAGGTGAGGCAGAGCGAAGGCACCAATGATCTGCTCTTTGGAGTCGAGGAGATTGTCAGCTTCATTAGCTCAGGAACTACGCTTGAGGCTGGTACTGTTATCCTCACTGGTACACCTTGTGGTGTGGCCATGGGTATGAAGGAGCCCAAGTATCTTAACGACGGTGATGTCGTGGAGGTCAATATCACTGAGTTGGGTAGCGTGAAGAACAAGATGGTATTCGAATGACGGTAGAACTAAAAGATTTATACATAATTGAGGTAGACTTCTATGCTATTCGTTCAAAAGTTCCCACACTCCTTGGATGTCGTTAAGCCAAGACATGTCGTTTACGTCCAAGTTGAAGTCTGCTAGTTCCTGTGGGTTGAAATCGGGTATCGGGGTATCAAATTGTTGTGCTAATTGCTGAACAAGGTCGGGGATCTCCGCGTTGGACATGAAATGCTGAGGGACATGATTGCCTTGCGCCGTATGGTCCATTGTCCCATTGATATTGTTGGACATCTCACGCCCAGGCGATCCACGCGGCGTAGCCTGTAGGAGGATCTTAGATGAAAGGATATGCAGCGCCGCCACGCATCTCCTCGCCGATTGCCCAAACTGTTCATGTGTTTTGAGCAGCGAGATAGCTTGACCCCAAGATCGTCCTATCTCCGCAGCAGAAAACACATCGGACCTCAACTTCGCAGCGATCAAGACCGTAGCAGCAGAGTAGACATAATACACGCGGTACCACCAAGCTGGAAGAAGACCAACTGTGCTATCTACTGACTGATGCTTGACGAGAGTCTCGATCATGTTTTGAGCTGTAGTAACGCAGAACATAGCGCCTTGCTGAACCACACGAGCCTGGAGGTTATCGTCTGGTCGTTTGTCTATCGGTGATTGAGTCAGACAGAACCTGGACAGCACTGGTCTGAGAAGTAAGATTCGTGCGTGAAGAAACCTGCGCAGTTCTAAATTAGCACACCAGTTGAAGAGAATCATAGGTCGATGGCAGTGAACTAACCTCATGCGAAGGATTACGGCCTGCCTTCGAGCTATCTCATCTTTATTCGACTCTAGCAGATCCCATCTCAAATGGACCGGCAGCTTTGCCTCCCAGCGACTGATACAGCGGTCCAACTGAACCACCCTATCAAGATCCTCATCTTCGCTGTCCGCGCTCTCCGAGTCTGAATGTGCGTCCTTATCCTTGGAGCGACTACTTTGTGTAGGACTATAAAAGGCGATCATGGTCTTGTGTATGATCTCGTACAGACGAACTGACCTCACAAAGAAGCTGTAATACTCTGGATTCTGTATTATGCTCTGCCCGTTCGTTGTTGATGAAGTGGGTAGTGGAACAGCATTTGTGGGATGTTGTGAGATCATAGCTGGACGACCGTGAGTCACGGATACCATACTACATCAATCAGTTAGTTGGTAAAAGGAGATCCTCGATAACATGAAATGGCTTACCGGTCCATGAGAACACATCCGTACCATATCCTCCTCAACAACTCACGCTCACCTGGATCCGACCGACTGGCAGACGTCTCAGGCAAATGAAGACCCAAGCCTTGTGCCATCCGGATAGCAGACCCGATCACCATCCACGTTTGATGGGGATTATAGGTACTCTGTAGATACTGACTCGTCACAAGGAGACATTGAACCAATTCGAGTGAACCGGGCTCCCAAGGATTCATGGGCAATAGCTCCTGTGCTCGTCGGAAAAAAGCTTCGCTTGACTGCTCACGCTGTTCCAAGGATTGAGATTCGAGAAGTTGAGTCGAAAGAGCGAGTATCACGTTGAGAGTAGCCATGAAGACGCGCTCATTGAGATCCATAACTGTGCCGGCAAATATCGCATTGTACGCAGCGGTCCAGCGCTTTCTATCAAGGAACGGATACAGCGGGTCGACGTAGAACCAGTAAAGCTCCATGAGGTGGTCAGCCTGTCTGCGTGGAGGAAGAACATATGAGAGGGCTGGGGATGTAGCTTGAATAGAGGTGATCGCGTCCGCACTTGATTGAGCAAAATTAAATGCAGTTTCACTTGGATGAGCCGTAGACTTTCCCAATCTGACATCGATGGCTTTCTTGATCTGAGCCGTGAATGATCCGGCACTGCTTTTACCAAAGAACTCTTCGGTGCTAGTACCCTCATCAATGACGGCAGTCATCGAGTCAACCGCAGCAGGACTGGTTGAGGTTACCGAAGCCCCAACGTTAAGCTGGCCATGAGAATCGGGCCTTCGACTCCCTGGGGTTGAAGTAGCTGGAGACACATGCTGTGGTGGTGGTGCAATTGAGGGACGATTTCGGGAGTGCGGGTCAATGGCAGTAACAGATGCTATTCTCGATGCCGACGGGCTTGTCATTGATGATGAGCTGTCTTGCCTCTGTATATTTGACATGACAGGCGCGGTATAGTCACCATTCTGCCCATGCGCTGAAGGGACACGTCCTGGAATGTGGCTAACTGTGGAAGCAAAGTAATTGCAGTTATCTCGCAAAGCCAATTTTTTACTACATGTTCCACAAACTATTGACTCTATCAGCTACAATGAAGCGCGTTGGATTGATGGACTTGAAGCTCACCTGGTCTCACTCCATCGCATTTGACCTTCTTGAGCCTGCAGTGACCGCATGCTACATCGATCTTGAGACGCTTCGACCCACCGGGACGATCCATTCTTCTTGGAGGATCCATCATGTATCAATTTTCGGATAGAGAGATGATATCGGAAGGAGGAGATAAGAGGTTCGGAAAGGTCATGAATTGGTTCGGAAGGGACAGCTACAACCCCGGAATGATGAGATTATGAATGCCATGACCTGGGCAGGTGGGTGTCAGAAAAA